ATACAATTCATTTTACAGATATCATATTTGCAGAAAAAAAAATAATAAAAAGATGGTTTTGTGAAACCCTTCGACTACGCGTATGTGACCCTTCATTTTATCTAAATAGTGGCTGTTTCAAAGCGATGAACTTGAAGAGAAAGAATGAAGAAGATTTCGTCATTTTTCTAAATAAAAAGTTTTGAATTCTCTTAAAATCCTTCATTGTCTTTAAAGCACAAATGCGCAAGTCACTTATAATGAGAAAGCAAAACTAAAATTAATCAACTTTAAGCTGGACAATAAGGACATCTTATTTATTTGTTATCAGAATAGACCTAATTGGCAAAAATAGTAATGATTTTTGCGTGTTAGAGATCGCAAACTAACTTAAGGGTGAGATGCGCGCACATCCTTTGAATTCAATCACTTTTTGTACATCTGGAGTTTTATTACTTATTCATTCAAAACGCAAAAAAGTTAGAAGAAAAAAATAGGATTAAATACGTCAAATTGTGATAGAAAGTTACAGTGTGCTGAAATAAGGAACGAACTGCTATAGCCGCGTGCATTTGGATCACAGTGTAGGTCAAACACAAAAATTTTCCCCAATTTTCAGCCATTTTGAGGGTTATTGGATCTAAAATTAACAATTACGAAAAATAAGTCTTTCTATTATAAAATGTACAAATATATGGTTTTTGCCCAAAAGTAAATTAAAATCCTCACATTTCAATCCAACTACTAACTAGCAAAAGATTGTTTAAAAGTTAAATATTAATAATTTAAATACCTAATCAGAAANCCCCAACCTACACTACAAACTTTCCTTTCTAATAGTTTGCTGTAAAACTAGGTTTATATAATGAAAGCAGAATTAAATATTAGCATACTAGGCTTCATGCAATCCCTGCGTACAGAAATAACAGAAAACAGTTTAACTTTATTTTAAATGGATCACAAGTATAAACATGCATTAAATCTATCTATGTACACTAGATACAAGGAGAACCAGAAAACTCTGGAATAGGAGACGACTTTTAGACTCAAGTTATGCCTTTAAACAGTCCAATGAACATGAGACACAACAATTGAAGAGTGTAAATAGATCAATTTTACTTAATAAGTGATTTAATAACTTACTTGTAAACTATTTGCTTTGTAACAATTAGGATTTGCAGCCAATAAACGTTTCGTTAAAAAATGCGAAAATATTTGTTCGCATTTGCAATTTTTTTCGTTAAATTTCACAAACAAATTTTTTTTGCTGTAGTTTAAATTGCACCCTGCGACCGACGGGTTTCCCGACACTCTAGCACCCTCGTACGTGAAGCAATCCGGCTCATAAGCACATTTTTGGAATAGCGAAAATGAATGAAGCGAAAACGATGCAAAATTTCGCGAAACGCGAAAATTTCGCGAAAAATTACATACAATTGCAAAAAAAAAATTGTGGAATTCTTTGCTTTGATAGCTCAGTATTTGAAGTTTTATTATGTCATAATACTAATTTCTCTTCCTTTACTTTAAATAATGTTTGATGAAGAGAATTTTATTTCTCTAACTATCTTTTTAATTTTTTGTCCGCCCACGGACGTTCACTCAACACACCCATGACAATGAGCCAGCCAATTTTAAGAAAGAATCTTTTAAATGAACCATACAATTTTTGCTATATTTTTAAAAAAAATAATTTCTCAATTTTTTCGCAAAATTTTCGCATTATTTTTCGCTATTTTTCACGAAATTTTCGTATTTTCTATTTCGCGAAAATTTCGCATTTTTTTGCTAATCAGATTGAAAATTTTCGCATTTTTTGCCATAAAATTTAATTGTCGAACTCGGTAGAGCTACGGGAATGTTTGTAGCTTAAAAATTCTAAGTAGAGTGGGTTGAATTGTAAAGGGGATCCAGGCTATTTTTTTTATAAAACAGAAGACCAAATGCCTGATTACTCGCCGCAAAGTTTTATTTTTTAAATCCCGTATTTTTGCAATCTGATGGTGTAAAACTTTGATATTTAAAACTTCAACTTACTGATCTAACTTTCACATCGTCATTCAAATCTCATTCTTTGAGGGTAACCCTGTACGTATAAAGCTAAAGTCACAACAAAATAAAGGATTTTCTTTAAGGATCTGTAGACGTAATTCTAGAGAAGCATGTCCGATTTACAACGGTTCTTAGAAAGATTTGTGCTATAGAGAATGAAAAAAAAACAATCTATGATTTCTCTTTATAGAAATTGGTAATTTTCAATTGTGATTTCTAGCTCTATTAAAGTGGATTTCTTGCACCAGACAAAACTTAAAAAATTGTCAGCAAATAGAACTTAACACTTTTCAAGTTAAAAAAACGACAATATCATTCACATTAATGATCAGATAACTGTTAATTGTGAAACGGACAAACCCCTCTTTAAATGAAGGCTCACTTGAACAATCCCTTTAAATAAAGGCTCACTTAAACAGTCCCTTTAAATGAAGGCTCACTTGAACAATCCCTTTAAATAAAGGCTCACTTAAACAGTCCCTTTAAATGAAGGCTCACTTGAACAGTCCTTTTAAATAAAGGCTCACTTAAACAGTCCCTTTAAATGAAGGCTCACTTGAACAGTCCTTTTAAATAAAGGCTCACTTGAACAGTCCCTTAAATGAAGGCTCACTTGAACAATTTCCCTTTAAATAAAGGCTCACTTGAACAGTCCCTTTAAATAAAGGCTCACTTGAACAGTCCCTTTAAATAAAGGCTAACTTGAACAGTCCCTTTAAATGAAGGCTCACTTGAATAGTCCCTTTAAATGAAGGCTTACTTGAACAGTCCCTTTAAATAAAGGCTCACTTGAACAGTCCCTTTAAATGAAGGCTCACTTGAACAGCCCATTTTAATGAAGGCTCACTTGAATAGTCCCTTTAAATGAAGGCTCACTTGAACAGTCCTTTTAAATGAAGGCTCACTTGAGCAGTCCCTTTAAATGAAGGCTTTTTTGAACAGTTCCTTTAAATGAAGACTCACTTGAACAGTCCCTTTAAATTAAGGCTCACTTGAACAGTCCCTTTAAATGAAGGCTCACTTGAACAGTCCCTTTAAATGTTTCCTTATTTTACTATTTATACATTTTCTAATTCCAGGCATTGTTGTACAGTTGGTTTTAACATGGATTTTAATCATTAATGTTTCCGGTTTAGTTTTAGTAAGATACGCCTCTGAATCTGATTAAAATATTTGCAGACATAAATACATAAACATGAACATTAACATGAACATAAACATGAACATAAACATGAACATAAACATGAACATGAACAGCTCAATGAACATAAACACGAACATGAACAACTCAATGAACATATAAACATTTGTAAAAATATGAAAATTACATGAAAATGAATATAAACATAAACATGAACATGAACAGACACATAAACATGAACATGAACAGATACATGAACGTCAACAGAAACATGAACGTCAACAGAAACATGATCATGAATAGAAACACGAACATGAACATATCAATGAACAAAAACAATGATTATTATAATTCAATGAACATAAATATAAACATAAACATAAACATGAACTTGAACAGAAACATAAATAGAAACATGATCATGAATAGAAACATGAACATGAACATAAACATAAAAATGAAGATGAACATGAACATAAACATGAACATGAACATAAACATGAACATAAATATACCAATGAACATAAAAAATATGTAACAAATTATTATAATGAAATTACAAAACTGAGCAGTGAACATAGATATGAATATAAACTTGAAGATGAACATACAAATGAACAAAAACAAAATCATATTAATACATATGCATAAACATGATTATGAAAATTACAAAACATGAATATTGTGCGTCAAATCAAAACTGGAGAAGCTACGAGGTCACAAGGTTGTACCAGTAATATCACATAATTTGACCTTTTTATTCTGTCTACATAGCAAGGTTATCATAAATAATTTTGGTAGATTGCTATCTGGCAGTTTAGTTTAACTATCTATAGTTTAAACAATGCACCTCCCTGAAACAGCTTAAAATAATCAGACTATATGTATAAACCGTAGAATCCAATAAAGTGAAAATAAAAAGTATTTGGATTCGAATAAAGAAAGTAAAACTTCTTAATGGGAATTATGATTTTTGGCTTTTCAAGATGCAGAAAAACGAACATCTTTTTTTATTTTGTATCCGTTTTGGGCATATGGGAACCGTTTTGAATCGGGTAAATACAGCCTTCAGTTGAATTTAGAAAAGAGTTCTTTTAAAGAAATTAAAAACCAAAGTAGTTGTCTTTATTCTTTTGTAAAAATATGTATGTAAAATAATGATAAGGTTTGCAATAAAGATGTAAAATTATTAAAAGTATCTACATTTCAAGACGAGCTTCAAGTGATAAAACAGAAAAATCAAAAAAAATTCTTGAAAGACAAGGAAACATGAGGAAAAAGAAAAAGAAATGAATAGAAAGCAATATGGGGATCTGAGATAATTTTCTTTCTTTGTCATTTGGAAAACTGGATCTCAGTAGTGTACTGTCCCGCTGCAATATTCGTACTTTAGTATCTTCACTTAAGTGTACTGTAGTGTCTAACGTGTACTACGTGTACTGTAGTGTCTAACGTGTACTACGCGTGTACTGTAGTGTCTACTATGTACTAAGTGTACTGTAATGTCTACTAAGTATTACGTGTACAGTAGTGTCTACTGTATACTACATATACTATTGTGTCTTCTTTGTAATACGATGTACTGTAGTGTCAAGTTCAAGATAATGTTTTGAAAGCCAATAACAATTGTAAAATCAACATATTAATATCTTTTTGACGTGGAAAAGAAGAAATTCGAACTTTCGACCATTGAAACATTTCTGAAAATAGTATTTTTTTCTTTTCCTAGTTTCGCATTTCTACATAAAATAGGGATATTATGCAATTACAAAAAAGGATAGCGGATAATCCTCTGAATGTATTAGATATCTAAATGTTTCTTTTTCAGGTCCCCAGGGAGTTGATAAACCATTCGGAGCTATTCAGTGGAAATATGGACATCATGGATTCTTGTTCATTGTACAGTTGTTGAGCTAAACAAAGTGAACCAGTATACGAAGTGTACTGCACATTATAAACAATTATGAGTTTGAATAACAATGCATGTTATCCTTATGGCGCTCTAATAGAGTGTAGATGTGATGCAAGAGGCAGAATTTATAGGTAAGCTGTGTCTTGGAAAATACGCAATATGTCCGCCATTTTTATTCAGCTTTTGACTGAAATTCTGAAATTTTGTTTGATCAGATGATGACTAGACTGTAGTGTATGGTTGATGGTTAAACCGTGTTAGATTAGAGGATATTTGTTCATCCCGGAGAATAATCTTTCAGATAACACACATAGTGTAAAAACAAGTTTTTCAAGAGTTTTTAGCAGCCAACAAGAAAAAGAAAGAAAAGGGGATAGGGAGGTTGAAAATATATATATGATGGGATTCTAATTAATTATTAGATTATCAGGGACCAAATTTATAAATTAGAGGGGCCGCTTAACTACCTACGGCCGATTCAAATCCCTAATCAACGATTCAAATTCTCATGAATCTTTAACTTTGAATGAATGATTCATGATTAAAAACTCTCTCCAATTAGTTAAATTCGGTCTCAAGGCTTACTATATAAAGACTAAGACTTTAGAGAGAGAAATACGCTGTTTTTATAAGATTTCTGTAGATTAATAGTTATCTACTATAATGTAGCCTAACTATATTCTTTACAAATACATTTAACTCTTAACAACACTATACAGTGATAACCAGAAAACTATGGAATAAGAAGACTTCAAGAAGACTCAAGATTATTTGACTTTTTAAAGTTATAACTTGATTCTAAAAGTCGTCTTTCTATTACAAAGTTTTCTATGTATCACTGTAGAAGTAGTTTCCGAAACTAAACAAAACTAATTTTTTAGTTTAGGTTTTGTTCAACTTGCTTATTTGATATTATCAGGCTTAAATATAGTGATCGAAAAGTAAGATTTAAAAAATGCGAAATGTGACAGCTATTATAGACAAAAAGACATGCGGACAACTAAAATAGTGTTTATTCTTAAATCTTATGAAAACAATTAATTAGTATTTAAGATTAGTGAAAATATTATTGAAAAATAGAATGTTTAAAAAAAGGAAGTATGGGGGGGTGTTTAGAAGGGGAAAGGGGGAGTAGTTAACTATCATATACAGCAATAAATAGTCCTTCCTGGAATAATATAATTTAAATTCTGAGAAAAGATAAAAAAGTTCAACATTTTTGGAACTTATTAAATTCCTTTGATCAGTAAATAAATACATATATATACATTCACAGCAATATATTTTTCTTGCATCTCTCCTTGATTACACTAAAAATAGTTTTTAGGACATGGAGACTAATATTTGAAATTTTGATAATTCATAAACCTTCCCTGGGGTCCCTAGATGTCCCACAAAAAATTTGGGCCCGATCGGTTCAGCCGTTTTGACGTTTATTGGATACAAACAGACAAACTAACAAACAAACAGACAGACAAGCCAAATTTATATATAGATTATCAACAAGCTTTTTTTCGAATCTTAAGTTTCAAAATAATAAAAGAGAAGTTTTTTTAATTGACAGTTTCTCCGCGCTGTTTAAAAGATTGATATAAATGAATCTAATGAAAAATTTATATAGGAGAAATGGGACGGTTAACACTGCAAAACTGCTGGCCTAATGTTTATATGACTTTTCAAAAGCATTACAATTCTACAGTTTTATGGGTCCAACTGTAAAAAGCACAATTTGATTTTTAAAAAATGTGGATGCATTGAATATATTTGAGTTTTAAGAGTTATATGCATAGAAGAAAAGGAGGAACCCCAGCATTAAAAAAAATTCACGTTTAATACTTTAATTTAGTACAGCGTATCGGCTTCAAGTCTTGCAAAAAACATATGAAGCGTTGTTATTTTTAAGAGCAGGTTTGACTCAAATTTTGATTAGGCCGGGAACTCGGTATTTGGTTTACACATTCTAAAGTATATAAACACAAAATACTTTGTTTTCAGTCAAAGCTTGTATAAATATATTGTCTTTTTTAAGTAATTTTATTACATTAACTATTGCAAAAATTTCAAGAAAACTGTTGATAATATAATTTATTTACAAACTAAGTTTATTCACAAACTTTGTTTCTTTTAAAAGTACAGAAAGGAATTCAAAGACAAAGTTTAACATCTTCCTTCAGAAAAATTTGATGGCATTAATATAATAATTTTAACTAAAATCAGAATATTTTAAAATTAATTTAATCGTAGACAAAACATAACGAATCAAATATTTTATCAGTTATTTAATCATTTATTTAATAAATAAAAAAAAATATCAGAATAAGACGTCTAAAAATGCATAATTTTATCAAACTTATTAAGGAAGAGTTTAAACTTTTAAAATTAGTTACACATGCATATTTCAGCTTCATTATTACGGTCACCTAAATAGCTAAAACCTTGTATATCCCAAGGATGTAAGGCAAGGAAAGTTATTTCAGAAGTGTACACATCTTTTGTACTGCAGTGTACTGTCTCTGGGTGGAAAAGTAAACACAAGAAGAATGTCACAGCCTGACATGGGATCCATCTTTCACATAAAAAATCAATGAAATATTCTGGTCATAAACTATTATGTGAATTATTGAAATTATCAAAATTTAATGCTTTTAATCTCCTCGGATACTAAACGAACACTGATGCACCTATTCTTGTTTACAAATTCCGCCCAGGTAGAACTGGTTTCAATATGAACGCAGATTATGCACGACCGCAATTAACTTTCCTTGCATTACACCCTTGATATATCCCTCTATCTGCAATGTTTATATCGCAATCCTTGTGGGAAAAAAACCTATTTGATAGAAAAAAGTCTCTTAGGTTATAAATGAGATTGAGTTATTAACTTTTACATGAAAAAGCATTTCCAGATTTCATCGAAAATTCTATTAAAGGGACTGTAAGCTTGATTTCAACTCCATGAAAAACTGACAAAGCCCAATTTACAACGGTAGCCTTGGATCCAACGAGGTTATAGTGTATAGAGTGATGATGTACGCTAACCCTTTACTAATTACATAGTGTACAGTACAGCTAACTGAGCACACAGGTATAGAGCTGCTTGGATCCTTTATTAGATCAATAATGTGGAAGATATTATCGTTTTTTTATGTTTGAAAGTGTTTATTTCTGATAAATATTATGCTTTCCTGTACTAGAAATGCGTAATTCACTTCTGTATCGAAACCACAGTTGAAAATAGTCATTTTTTAAAATTTTAAACAATGATATCTAATTCATATTTGATCTAACAAAGCTTTTAAGGGTAGCGTTGTGAATCAGGCAATACCATTTTTTCATGTAGGTTCCCTTAAAAGTAAAAATTAAGTAAAAAACTGTTTTGAAAATATATCTTCAATATTGTTGATTGTGCGGAGCGGATATTTAAGATAGAATTAATGTATTTGTCTTTAAAATATGTTGTTTAAATCTCCTTCTTAACAGTATATATTACACCCAAGGTTATAATGCAGGGAATGTTATTTCAGAGGTGTACACATCTTTTGTACTGCAGTGTAATGTCTCCGGGCTGTAATGTAAACACAAGACGGATGTCGAAGCCTGACATGGGATCCATCTTTCACATAAAAAAGCAATAAAATATTCTAGTCATAGGAAACTATTATGTGAATTATCAAAATTATCAAAATTTAATGCTTTTCACCTCCTCGGATACTAAACGAACACTGATGCATCTATTCTTGTTTACAAATTCCACCCAGAGAGAAAGCTGGTTTCAATATGTACGCAGAGTATATGCAACTGCAATAAACTTTCCTTGCATTATAACCTTGATAATTCACATTATATTAAAGCAAAGTATATCAGATTATATTGTGCTGAGTCGTATAATCACTGTATAAATTCGACTAAAGTAGACCATGGATAGCTTCTCTAGTTTTCATTTTATGCAACAAAAGGAGAAAGCAAATTTATTTTGTGACATATTAAAAAGGATTTTTTGCCACAAACTTTCGAATTCATCTCTTTTCAACCTTATGTTGCAAAACCTTTCGATATTTCAAATTTAGATTTTTTTATCTAACAGAATTTATAGTTTAGAATATCAAAGTTCTTGTTACGCGAGCCATGCTGCGTATAGAAAGTCTGTTTGTCGCCCCTGTGTATTTCTGAGTTCCCCCTGAAGATCTGTACGGAATGGATTGTGAAAGAACTAGTTTAGGAACTGTTTACAGTCCGACTGCGCAGACGCAAGATTTCTCGCGGA